AGATGAATTTAAGAATTGCAAGGAGAGGCAGGGCCTTGGCTATAGTAGACAGCCAACCGATCATGAGCAAACCAGTAGGAAAGGAAGTGACGCAGGTAAAGGAATCTCAAGCCAAAAAGTGAGAGCAAAAAAACAAAACAAAACAAAAACACATAAGAAAATGTGTAAGACTGAGAAGAAAAAGCAACAATAAAAACAGTCAATAGAAAAAACTTATGAGCAATAAGAAAAATTGGAAGAAAAGTATGAAGTACCCACAAGGATGAAACACTATTGAAAAAGTGGCAAGTTAAAGATAGTGAGACAAAACACTGCCAAAATTAAATGAAAATATAGCACACCACCAAATAAGATTAATAAAACAAAGAAATAAAACTCACCTTGTAAACATTCACAAAGATCTTTAGCAAGTTTATGATACACAGGAAAAACAACAGGAATACATAATACTGTACCAAAAACTGTATCTCATATATGTCGTAGAAAGATCAAAGGTGATAAAGTCTCCAAATATTCTATTCATTAATCAGTTCATCTAAGAAAAGGAAATAGGAAAAAAAGCAGATTTACTTCTACGAAAGCATAGAAAATATCACATTACGCCATCAAAATTCAAGAGAAAAGCCATTTTATCTAAATAAAAAAAAAAAGCCTAAAAGAAAGAAAGAAAAAAAAAGAAAGAAAGAAAAAAAAATGTTGTAGAGTAGAAAAAAATCTTATACCCAAGAGTACATATACTATGATATGAAGCACAGTTACAGTGATAAGAAAAATAGTAAATTTGTCATGTGACAGCTCCTCCTTGTTTAACTGTCTGATGTGGATTCTGGTTTGACTTGAACCATGACAGATTTAGAAGTCCTCTTCATATTATGCCTATGTTTTATTTCTTTTCATACATATTATCATGTCTGGATTCTATATACCCGATATTGGCCCAATTTTTTTAGAAGAACATTTCCCACATCTCAAGATAACTCACATGTCTTTAAATGATAAAGCAGTTGAATAAAAATTCCAACTAAATTACTTCTTTTTTATACAAGTTTCTGACTTTTGAAGTAATTGATCTCTATTTCTGTCTTTAAAAAAAGGTTATTTCTGCAAATGAAAAAAATACTCAAAGAGCATACTCTACTTTGAAAATAATAACACAGAATTTCTAGCAAAATTGTTTTGTCAGATTTGACAAAACAATTTGTTATTATACAAATGATAACAGAATCTCATGAATCTATAATGCTGCTTGATTTTTCATATATCTTTACCATGTGAAGCACTGATGTAAATTACCATAATCTTTGTATTGTATTGTGAACTATAGCCTTATTCAATAATAAGAACCAGACAATGATTACTTATGCCATCATCTACTATTTCCTAGTATTCCACATGATTTCCTTTCTTTTAAATGAAATGGAAAATTAGAGCAAAACAAAAGACCATTCATTATATTATCTATTAAAATATGAAATCATTACCTTCACCTACAACAGAGAATATGAAATTCAATTTCTGTCTTTAATATCTTAATGTTTTGATCAATATGAAGTTTCATGATAAATGTACAATGTGTACACATACTTTATAATCATAATAAAATTGTAACAGTCAAAATTTAGAGGCGTATAAAGTGTACAAGTACTTTATATTCTTGAAAAATTGAAAATAATGATCAGAATTTAGTGGATCATTCATGAAAATACATATGCAGTTATTATTCATAAAAAGGACACTTTCTAATGGTAATAATAATCATAAAAATAAAGAAGTATAAAACAATTTTCTTTAATACACTAAAATTCATCACACTGCTACATGCTTACATTGATTTCTTTAATGTATTTTTAAATGTCCATTTTGGAATTTGATATAAAAAACTATATTGTTCCTGAAGATTTTATAGGCTACATATATTAGGCAGCATTGTCTTCTTTTATGTAAGGATGGATGGCCATTAAGGAACACTAATCCTCTTGAATAATAACTGCAACATCTCATTTTCAAACATCTAAAGGATAATGCATATATCAAAATACAAACATTTCTCCAACAACCATGTTTGTCTACATATTGGCATAAAAAACAGCTTATATAATTTTAATGATACAAATAATAGTTAATGATATATTCCACTTTGTTCTGTGAAAAAATGCAATTACATCAACAACTACTTCACATCCTAAATCTACTAAAATAGGCAAAAAAACATCACTAAGAATTGATAAAAAAAAAGTTGAGATAATTAGAAATACTTACCAATAAAAGACAAAATTAAGAATAAAAAATACTACTACATGAGAATTGTACTGATAGGTAAGTACTTCTCTTTCAGCAAACATATAAATCCTCACAAAAGGCCAATCAACTCATATATCAATCTAGCAAACAGAAAAAAAGCCAAGGCTATTGTGGCCAAACATTGTTATTCGTTCACATTAGTACTAAGATGCTTTAAGCTAAACTTGAAACTAACAAGCCAGCTTGAGACGTGTTGCAC